AGCCAGTGCCCTAGGGTTCTCAACTCCTGTTCATAGAAAAACTTTCCTGAAGAGTGACTATGGCCCCTGAGTGCCCTTTCTAACTTCACATCGACTCTCCAACCCTATCCTATGGGACTACCACCACTACCACTCTTGTCTTTTCAAGACCCACAGTGGTTCTCTTCGCTGTCGTCCCTTTATCCCAGCAGCCGCCGCCATGAAGGTCGAGCTGTGCAGTTTTAGTGGGTACAAGATATACCCCGGACACGGGAGGCGCTACGCCAGGACCGACGGAAAGGTTTTCCAATTTCTTAATGCAAAATGCGAGTCGGCTTTCCTATCCAAGAGGAATCCTCGGCAGATAAACTGGACTGTCCTCTACAGAAGGAAGCACAAAAAGGGCCAGTCGGAAGAAATTCAAAAGAAGAGAACTCGGCGTGCAGTCAAATTTCAGAGGGCCATCACTGGTGCATCCCTTGCTGATATCATGGCCAAGAGGAATCAGAAACCAGAAGTTAGAAAGGCTCAACGAGAGCAAGCTATTAGGGCTGCCAAGGAAGCAAAAAAGGCTAAGCAGGCATCTAAAAAGATGGCAATGGCTGCTGCTAAGGCTCCCACAAAGGCAGCACCTAAGCAAAAGATTGTGAAAACTGTGAAGGTTTCTGCTCCCCAAGTTGGTGGAAAACGCTAAATTGGCAGATGAGATTTTAAAATAAAGATGTCTATAACTTAGATGGTGTTGAATTTTTGCTCCTAAACAGGCATGTTGGGTCCACATGGTAATAGGTGTACAGTAAAGTTGAGAATTTAAGACAATTTCAAGTTCATCTCTTGGGGCTGGGGGTACTGATCAAAATTGTAGACTATTTGGTTAGTATACATGTGCTCTGGGTTTGATTTCCTGTGCCAAAATAAAATGAAAGTTCATTTCTCAGAAATAATGCCTTCTGATGTAACCCTTTTAATTGGAGAAATGTTAAGATAACACAATAAAGATATATGGTTGAATGCTAAAAAAAAAAAAAAAAAAAAAAAAAAAAGACCCACAGTGGACTCCATGTTGTCGACCCCAAAGGTCACTTCTGAGCCTATTTATCTCAACTTCCAGCAGCACGCGACAGTTTCCTTTGAGTCGTGGTCACTGGTCTCCTACCTGAGCCCCCGTCTTATGCCTCCAACGTCCACACTGCAGCCAGAGTGAACACTGGACCCTCCTGCTCACCACCCCCTAGACCCTGCCATGGCCAGCGACCTGAGTGGCTCCTGCAGTCATTAGGTCCTGGCCTCTGCACACTCTCCAGCCTCCTCTCTGGTCACCTCCACTCCAGTTTATTACCACCACTGGCTCTTCAACTAGGCGAGTGTGTTTCACGGACCAAGTTTATTCATGACTCGGCTCCTTCTTGCTGTTCTCTGCCTGGAACTAGACACCCCCCCAAGGCCTGGCATTTTCTCATCCTTCAGGGCTGAAAAGAATCCCCTCATGGAAAACACCTCCAGGACACTTCATCTGAAGAGCCCTTGGCTAATACCACATCACTGATTAAAAAGAAAAAGTGAAGAGTTAAAGGGTGATTAAACTAAGGATTGAACCCAGGGGACACTTAACCACAAGTCATTTCCCCATATCCCTAGTTATTTTTGACGTAGGGTCCCACTAAGTTCCCGATGCTGGCCTCAAACTTGTGATCCTCCTGCCTTAGCCTCCTGAGTCACTGGAATTATAGGCATTCACAACCACACCTGGCTTTTTACATCCTTTAGCATGACCCGAAACTGCTATGCGGTCATCTTCAGTTTCCACCGGGGATTGGCTTCAGAACCCCCATGAATACCACAGTCCATGGGTGGAGTTAGATAAAACAGCATAGTATTCGCATGTCCTATATACACACTTTAAGTTACTAATACTACCTAATACAATATAAATACTATACAAATGGTTGTTATACTGTGATATTTCAATAATAAGGACCCCCTCAAAAAAGTCTTTCATGTTCAGTACCGATGATTACTTTTGGAATATTTTTGATGTAACATATGGAATCCAGATATACAGGCAGAAAGGTCTGCCCAGCCTACACGTGTTCACCTGCTGCCCTTCCCCTGCTGTCCCTCAGTACACAGCTACCGAGCAGTAGAGACACTGCCCCAGGAGGAGCTGCTCATCAGTACTGTGCGTAAAGGGCAAACCAGCACATCCTGAGGATCCTCCTTCCAACCCGTCACACCCTGATAATGTGTGCACCAAGTCTTCCTGGCCTCTAGCTGCCACCTCTGGAGTCTGTAGGTGAGACAAGACCCCACCACAATCATGCGGAGGACACGTAGCACCGTGGGCATCATTCTCAGGCACGTCCTCCCCACGCAGGAGACTCTCAGCCTTGGAGGACTCTGAACTCGTTACAGGGTTTCTGCTCTCTTCTCCAAATGCTCCTCTGCTTCCCAACTGGGAATAGAGTGAATTTGAGAGTATTTTCTCAACAGTTACAAGGCTGGGGGTACCAGAGGAAAGGTATGCTATAATAAACCATTTTATACACTTAGAGCTGAAGAAATTACTTCATGTAAATAAAAATCCTAGCAAGTCCAAGCTTGGCGACTTCCTCAGTGGGTAGACTGTTATTATGTGGTTTAAACCTTCTCAATGCCTCCCTGGGAAAGAACCTGGCTGCTGCCCAACCCCACCTACCCCGTTAGCGGGTCTCAGCAGGGGCCCCCATGCCCATCTCATAAAGGTTCCTTCCAAGTGTTCGTGAGGTCACGGGGCCCTGACCTACATGGTCTCAGGCACGCAGAATGCCCAAGCCACTCTCCCTTCCAAGGCTAATGAAGAAACCACTGTTTTCTAGCCAAGTCTTCCCTTTCTCCTCAGTTTCAACATGCCTATTCATGTTATCCTCTCCTTTGCTGCGAAGGCTGCTTGGAGCTCTTTTGGCACTGTAGTTTTACTTTTTAAAAGTTCCCAAACTTTTATGATTCATAATTTTAGGTTTCTATGAATTTGGCTTCTATTGAGTCTAAGCTTATGTTCATGTACTTTAGGAAGTTTTACTACGTAAGTTAATAGCGAACGTATCAGATAGTTGAACTAGAAAGAAGCATCGGAACGTTGATCTTGTGGAAACACCCAGCCCGAATTGCAAGCGTGTCCTAACTAATCATCAAAAAGCCTTCAGGGACTCCTCCTCAGAAATTCCTTACTAGCACTACTGCACAGCCTTGGAAATAATACAAAGACACAACTAAAAATTCTATGACAAACTCATTCATCCAGAAACTGCTTAATTTGATGCCCTTATGTATCCAGGATGCAGTCAACAACCTCCAAAGCTTAGAACAGCCTCCATGGGGACCACACCCCAACTCCTCCAGGTCCACACAAACTGTTCACCCCAAAGCTCTTAAAAATCCAACCCTGATGCCACTTGTGCCAACTGTGGACACATTTGCATAGGAGCAGCTATTGAGAGTCCCAGCCCACACCAGCTGGGAAGAAAAATCAGAGAGGGCAGTGACAGACCTAAAGTAGCACCAAGGAGGAGTGGGAGGAGGCCACACAGATGCCAGAGTGCACATCACTGTGTGGCCTGGAACTGACAGCATCCCAAACGTGTCAGAAAGCATCCGTCTGTCTGAATCTGATTCTCAGCTGTGCCAGATGCCCCTTGATAGTGTAATGGAGGATTTATGCTATGGTGATCCAATGCTCAGACACCTGCCCGTCCATCCCCAAGAGGAAATCCATGAGACAACTGATTTTCATTATCAGGGAGCATCAGATGCTACAGAAAGACTGAGCAGTGACAGACAGGGCCATAGGCAACAAGGAATCTGCATAATGGGTCCAAAGACAAACTGGCTTATGGGATAGAAGCCAATTCTCCCGTCTCTGGAGGTTCTGCTGGTGCTTACAAAGGCCGTCATGAAAGGAACTCAGACCTGGGTGGCAGTGAACTGGCTGACACCATTTAAGTTACCTCCCAAAGTTCTCCACTTTCCCTTTCAGCATCAGCAGCTGCTTCCAGATGCCCAGCATCCAGCTAGTTCTGTGAAGGAGTAACAAATCCAGGATCGACTTCAAGGAGATGACCACACAGCTGCTTCCAAGGGACCCTGACCCACCACATCATACAGCCTAAGAATGTTTGTACTGCAGACCCTCAGAGCCAGGTAGCTGAGGATAAACAGTTTTCCCAGGGGGAAGTTCCTGGAGTATGAATAACAGGGAGGCTCAGAGTGGGCTGTCACACTTCCATGGAGCTGCAGAGCTATGTGATGGCATTTGGGCTCCTGTTTGCACCAATAATCCCGCTTCCCTCAATCTGGAGAAACTATACTGAGGCACTAGACTCTGCCCTTCAGGTTTGTAACCTAAATTTTATTTACATTTTAAGGAAGGCTAGTATTCCATTTGAAGTCTGCCAATTAGAATAACAAAACGTTATTTTTATTCTAAGAGATGTAGTTAAAATCTCAGTATGTAACAGGAATCAGACAATCCCTTCATGTAATACAGAAGAGAGGAACATGGCCACTATCAATCACTGCAGATTTCTTTGTGATTTGGTACATGTTGCGGATGACCGAGCGATCGGGGCTTTACCTCCTCACAGCTATCATTTTTGCACACCCTGTTCCTCATTAGCATCAAACAAAGACCATGAGCCTTCAGAGGAACAGAGATGCCTGCTGACCCAGGAAATCAACACTGGCCAGGTCAAGCCTAGTCCAGAAGCGGAGCCTCTATTGTCCATAAATAACTTTAGGTTTACAATGTCACCTCTTTTTCAGGGAGCACTTGCCAGAAGGAAGGATAGCAGGATGGTGTTGATGCCGTTTTATTTTCTAGATTAACCTCCAGTGAGGATGTGGAGTCAGCCTGTTCAGAACCTGGGTACTTAGGTTTTAGATAAAACGTTACAACCAGATGTACAGGAAAGGAATAAAAGCCCATTTCTCAATACTTTTACAAAACAAACTAGAACTCTCATGTTTTATTATACTTAGGGAAACACAAGAACTGCACTTAGCAGGTCAAATATGCTGCTCATTAAGTAGAAATAAAAGTCTTCCAAAAAACCTTCAAATTCCTAATTCCTCTTCTAAAAATCCAACAACCATAAAAAACAATTTCCAAACCTCCGGATTTAAATTACAAAATGGGTTAGAAAAACATGCTTGATTTTATTTGTTTTGTTTTTCATGAAGACAGAATGTTATATAAATGGAGTCTGGTTGTTAAAACAATTGGGAATTGGTAAGACAACTTCATCTATAAAGCTTTGCCATTTTGTTTACAAGCTTACCAGCATTTTAGAATGTTGTACACTGCTTAAAAGTAAAAAATAATCCTATCCACTTAAGGTATATGTCTATTAGAGTTCCTTAAACTTTTTATTCCATTGCCATATTGCTTGGAATAGACCCTTAAAAAAGCCTTTATAATTATTAACTCTCAAATAGTCCAACAGAAATCTCTTGGTCCAAATCTCTCCCTTCTCAATCTCCAATAAAATGCATGCAACATCTTATCATAAATAAAGTCTAGATCCAAGCATATTACCTAAGGATGGAACTCTAGGCCTTGACTTGCAAGTATCCAGGAGGGAGAGTTGTGATCAGGGTTGGCAGTTCTGCTAAGACAGCAATTGCCTGTACCAAATCCATGTGCTCTGGCCTCAGAGACCCAGGGCCACCTGCTTTGACTCCAGACAACTTGCAGAAAGGGAACAGACTGTGAAGAGCCTAGTTGCCAAGCGAGAGACTGGGAAGCCCTTGCGTTCTTAATAATTAATATAAATAGTATAAAAGAAATCCTGCAGAAGATACAATCTGTTATCCAAAATAATTAACAAAATACACAGTGCTACAAATTAATATTTCCTTTTATTGAGGAAGAATTCTGGGTTGTTTTGTTCACTTAAAAAGATAGTCCAAATGACAACCAGAAAATAGTCACTTTTCCATCTTCCCCTTAGGATACTCAAGGTAATTGTGAAGACAGT